CCACTTTTCCCCCACTTTTTCCCAATTTTTCCCGACTTTTCCCAACTTTTTCACACTTTCCCCCCATTTTTACCACTTTTTCCTGATTTTTTCCCACCTTTTTTCCTGATTTTTCCCAATTTTTCCCAATTTTTCCCCAATTTTCCCCACTTTTCCCACATTTTTCCTGCTTTTTCCACCTTTTTCCCACTTTTTTCCCTGATTTTTTCCCACTTTTCCCCCATTTTCCCCTTTTTGCTGCTTTTTCCCCAATTTTTCCCACCTTTTCCCACACTTTTCCTATTTTTTTCCCATTTTTTCCCAATTTTTCCACGTTTTTCCCAATTTTTCCCACTTTTTCCCCACTTATCCCACCTCACCTTTTTCCCACTTTTTCCCCCCGATTTTTTCTGACTTTTCTCCCATTTTTCCCTATTTTTTTTTCCTGATTTTTTTTCCCACTTTTCCCCTTGATTTTTTCCCTGATTTTATCCCAATTTTCCCCCTGATCTTTTCCCGTTTTTCCCCATTTTTTCCCCATTTTTTTCCCGTTTTTTCCCCGTTTTTCCCCATTTTTTTCCCGTTTTTTTCCCCATTTTTTTCCCGTTTTTTCCCCGTTTTTTCCCCGTTTTTTTCCCCGTTTTTTTCCCCGTTTTTTTCCCGTTTTTTTCCCGTTTTTTTCCCCCATTTTTTTCCCCGTTTTTCCCCATTTTTTTCCCGTTTCTTTCCCCATTTTTTTCCCGTTTTTTTCCCCATTTTTCCCCGTTTTTCCCCATTTTTTTCCCCGTTTTTCCCCATTTTTTTCCCGTTTTTTTCCCCGTTTTTTCCCCCGTTTTTTTCCCCGTTTTTCCCCATTTTTTCCCTGTTTTTTCCCCCGTTTTTTCCCCGTTTTTCCCCATTTTTCCCCGTTTTTCCCCATTTTTCTCCCGTTTTTTTCCCCGTTTTTCCCCATTTTTTCCCCATTTTTTCCCGTTTTTTCCCCCGTTTTTTCCCCGTTTTTCCCCATTTTTTCCCGTTTTTTCCCCGTTTTTTCCCCATTTTTTCCCCATTTTTTTCCCCATTTTTTCCCCGTTTTTCCCCATTTTTTTCCCTCGTTTTTTTCCCTGTTTTTTCCCATTTTCCTGGTTTTTCTCCCCAGCAAATGCTGCACTACGACCCCAACAAGAGAATTTCGGCCAAGGCCGCCCTGGGCCACCCCTTCTTCCGCGATGTCACCAGAGCTGTCCCCCATCTGCGCCTCTGACCCCAAAACGGCCCCAAATCCCCCAAAAACAACCCCAAAACCCCCAAAAATGGCCCCAAAACCCCCAAAACCGGCCCCAAATCCCCCAAAAACGAC